TTCAGGGTATCTCCTAGTCGAGCAGTCTCGACTAGAGTTTTCTTACTTGTTCATTCTTTATTACTATGTTTCTTAAATTTTAGTTTATTAACTACCTTTCTGTCTAATAACATCGTTGAAAAATTTTTCCATACACAAATACAAATATATACTGAGTTAAAGCTTTTGTAAATTGAAATATGTAGTTACTAATCGGATGTTCACAGGTTAGCCAGCGGTGATTAGAATTGTATATTTGTTTCAAAACGAGTAGTTGTACATAATTAATATTATTAACACCTCATCTCTAATTTTGTAATCTACATCTTGTAACGTACAAATTTAAAAAAAAAATATATATATATATATTTTAAAATATTAAACATTTGTATTTAGTATTAATAATTTATCAATTTAAATATTATCATAAAACTTATTAAAAAATTCCCAAGTGTACAGTAAATAGAGTTGATTTTCTACATGGTTTGCGGCTGCATTTCATTGAGTTTAATGAGCACACACGCAGTTACTTAAATGATATGACAGCTTTAATATTGCTGGCAATTAAAAAAGTTACTACATATACTAAGGGCAGCAACAATGCAGAGAGAGGCGGGCATACATGTATGCATGCATACATATGTATAAAGAGAGAGAGATAGAAAACTCATCTTGTCTGAGTATTATCTTATAGTATTGTAGTGTCTTTCGGGCCCAAGTCGGGCGTAATTAAAATGTATTAGGTAATTGTCTCTGTGGCACAAATTAACACTTGCATCGCAAATTGTTGCTATTTTTTTTTGTTTTTTGTTTGGGGTCTACGAATATAACAGTAACAATGAAAACAACAGCAATAAATATTACTGAGAAAATCTGACAGCTGCTTCAGCGTGCATAGGCGACTCACTTGGACACTTGGACTTGCCCATTTTTTACAGCTGAACCCCACGCTTTTTTAATACGTAATACCTATGTATATTTCGAGGTTTAAGTTGTCGAAAAGATGAAAAACACTAACGTATATGATTGCAAATGTGACAAAGAATCCTCGTTTTCCAAATAATATTTTATTTTATTTAATAATACCGCAATAGCACTAATACTCTTAGTACTCTGAGTATATCTTTCCAGAGAAATGTCTCACGTAATCATTGGGTAGATTGTTAAATGACTGATCTCAATTACATTACCAGAGTTTCAAAGTATTATTGATTGGCGACTAATTGATGATTAATGAGTTGCAATCCTGAATCTCGTCAGATAATATTTTAAAATAAGTGATTAATTAATCTTAATAGCTGTACTTACAAATTCGTAGGGGATGGTTATATGAAAATTTGGTTTAATGCAATCAATACAAATCAAAATAGTATGTTTTACACCTTACTAATAACCATTACTTGGTTTATTTTGCATTATTCCGCCGTATTTAGCGCTATTAAATTTAGCTTACAAATGAGGGGCGCATGATAGTTAAGTACTTAACAAATTGAAGAAGCAATATAAGCGTGGAGTGTCAATCAAAGTGTTGAATATTAATAAGAACAACGCCACACTAATAAATAGCGGCAACAAAAAATATGGATATGCAAACAAATAGAGAACCTTCAAAGTAAATGCTCAGTGTGGGGATGGGTGTGCTGTTGTTGGTGACATGCATCACGTCAATGGCAAAAACGCCGTCTGCACTTGACACATTTATTGGGCAACTCAGATAGACAAAAGCACAGCTTGAAACTGGCGTCCAGTGCCATGCCCCTCCGACTTCCACTTGTATAAAGCTGACAGTGCGGCACCTGGCCAATATCTTCATAAATGAAATTCGAATATTCGCAGCAGCACCCGCGCAGCATACCCCAGATACTTACGCAGCCGTAGGTACAGATACTTCCACGGCTATAGATACAGCAACGTCTACAAATACAACTGCAATGTAGCTAAATCTTACAGATACTGACACAGATACAGATGGGTTGATAAGACGCATTCTCATCGCCTGGGAAATCACAATGCGAACAATATACGTTTCTTGAATAGACAAGTTTTTTATATTGTTATTATTATTTTGTATTGTATATACCATATACATATATTTAAATATAATTAATACACTAGATATAAACTTAGATTAGGGATCGTGCAATCCGCATGCGGTAAGAGTTTCGTGCTTTACGCGCTGTTGAAGGAAATGCCGATCTGAGATGTGATGAAGCTACGAATGGTCAGGCACGATTTGCATGGAAGCCAGCTAGATTGTTATGCAATGGCCACTAGCGTAGGTTTATGCAGTTATAAAATTTTTATTTTAAACATAAAATATGTGGTTATTAATTTATGTCATGAGTTGTACAGTAATATTGTAATATTATTATCCAATTCTTTTAGAAACTGCTTTTATCTAATATTAGTTTGTAACTTTTCTCTTAACTTGCCTATAAATCGAATTTTGTTCGTATACTTACATTCTGAACCAATTGAAAAAGGAGAGAATCGAGTAGAAGTTTTATGATGGGATATACCTACTATACGTAGGTCGATCGCTTATCTGCATCATCTAAAAGTCTGACTACGTATTCTTTTAATAACGTTTCTTTTTTTATTTTATTTAAAGTCATTCAACTTTGTCTAAGTTCTTAATACATCAGTCCAATTTACCGAATGAATATGATTATTTAAACTTGTTCCAAACAGGGACAACGCAATTCAAATACTGGTTAAGTACTGGGGTATTAACAAGGTGTATATAGAATAAATTTTTTCGGAATGTATGATCTTTTACTCCATTTGTAATTTTCGTTATTAAGCATCGGCTTTGATATTTAACTTTTTGGAAAATTCACTAATTTTACCTTTTAAGTGAATAGTATAAATTGTATTGGGGCATACGAGAAGTGAGACTCCAACTACAAATAATGTTTACACATTCTTAAAGTTGACTTTTAATTTCTCTTCTGAATGGCTAAATCATAAAAATCAGCTTCGACTACCAAGGCATTTGGTTTATTGTTCAGCCGATGCGACTCTGTTGATGGCAGCTGCTCTATTTTGTGCCTTTAACAATAGCAAAAAGGTTCAGCCGCATTAAACAAAGTAATTGCTCTGTTTATGGCTAGAATTCACTTTTTGCTCGTTTTTGTACTTGTATTTGTATTTATATTAGTGTCTGAGCATTTGCTTGTTTTTTGCAATCTGATTATTCAATGGAGGGCGAACAGCATAGTCCATTCGTATTAATTTTTAAATTAATTAATTTAAGTGGCTTCAAAAAAAAAATGTTCATAAATTGTATATACATTTAAATATATAGACGCTGACCTTTAGCTCATGTAGCCGTGATTATGCAATCAGCCATAAATAGATATAGAGTCTGGCTTAATCGTTCATTGAAAGCGGTTTCGGTTATGGTCTTGGAACCACTAGGCACTCATAACTTTCGGTTTTAGTGCGCATCATTATTTTACAATTTTCAGACGTAATTGAAGCGTGATAAAAAATCATCAGCAGCGGAAATGATTTGGCACTTAAACACTGGTCAACATTAACCAGCCATATATAGACTCGCCACAATATATATATATATATATATATATATATATATATATATACATATATATAAGGTGTGTGTTGTCTCTTTTACTTTTCCCAAAACAGTGCCAAAGATTTAATAAATTCAAATACATTTCGTATCATATTTAAAAACTGGTCTACAACTAAACCTAACCAGTTTTCTTTCACCAAAAGCGCTGGCTAAAATTTTCGAGATTCAAAAGTCATTGAAATGAAAGGGAGCCTTCAATTGGCAAACAAATACATGCTATTCAACAGGTTTTAGGCAAATATGATGTTTTATTATGTTGCCGGGTACACCAGTTTGCTAACAGAAATATATTTAGTTAAAGGTAAAGACTTAATTACACAATACAATACAATTACAATAGTTAACATTGTGGTTCGTTGTAGCGTTCGTTAAAATGTTAGTCTACGTCGCACAAAACAATTATTATGGGTGCCAATCAGAACTGTATTAAAATTGTTATTTAGAATCTAGATTCTAAGCCAGGAATCAACATATTCGCATATAAACGACCTGGCATTAACTGTAGTTTTTAGTGTTTAGTGTTTAATTTAATTTAATTCGATTTAGTTTGTAGTAAATTTCCTTGGGGTTTTCTATTTCTTTGTTTTTTTTCCAAGTATTTATGTTATCGCATATGCTATATGTCATGTATGTAAAAAAATAGCTAAACCGAAAAGGCCTATTTCTTAGCCTATTATTGTAAAATACCATTCACAAAAATCTGCAGTTATGAAAAACAGCGATAAATCGACACAACTCGTCTCCTAATCAGACTATTTTTTGATCAAAGTAGCCACGTTTATTAATTTCCGGCAGACAATTTGAACTGTGTTGCCCAGTGTAGGCGCAGAGGGGGGCACATTTGTAAACAAGTTTCGAGCCAAGCGGCCGCGAGTCCAGCGCAAGATATATGAGATGGCCACGTTGGTGATAGCCAGAGAAAAAGTGAATTGATTATGCATGATGTCGATGCAAGAAAAAAAAGCTGTTCATCGAGAGCAAGCTTAACCCAAAGAGAAATTTGCTTTAGCCCAACCCACACACTGCGGGGAGCTTTTTAATTAAGATGAATGCGCTGGTCGTATCTAAACTTGATTTTGTTTTCTTTCTTCTTTTTTGTCTTCTTGTTTACTGGCAACACAGGAACCCCAGCTGGTGGCGACGACGCACCAAGCTGGAGCGTGGCCTGCTCGTTTTGAGTAGTATTCTGTTCCTAGTTGCAGCAAGTAGCTTCGGTCTTTGGGCATTCGATGTACTCAGAGCAGAAGGCGCTGGCACAGACCCTGATCTGGCGGAGGCTCCACCACAAGCAACTGCATTGCATGGCGATAGCACCACTATGAACAAGGTACCCGGCATGGAGAACAAGGAAAAGCCAGCGGGGGAGAATGTTTGCCTGACCAAAGAGTGCATACACACTGCATCCACGGTGCTGCGTAAGATCAAGCCCGAAGTGGAGCCTTGCGATAATTTCTATGAGTTTGCTTGCGGTAGCTATATCGAGGAGGAGAACATTCCTGATGACAAGGTCTCAATCAGTACATTCTCTGTTATCTCGGACAAGCTGCAGGAGCAGCTTAAGGACATCATCACCGCTGAGCGACCAGCCACAGACTTCAAGCATTTCCGGTTGCCCAACCTGCTCTATAAGGCCTGCATGAACAAGAGTATGTGACCGATTAATAACCTATGAATCTAGGATCTCAATGTTTATTTATTTTCTGCAGCGCTCATTGAATCATTGGGTGCCACGCCCATAGCCAAAATAGCCAAGTCCTTAGGCGGCTGGCCATTGATTGAGGGGGATAGCTGGAATAAGGATGACACCTGGACCTGGCAGGAGCAGGTGAAGAAATTCCGCAAGGCGGGCTTTAGCATGGACTACATCATTGACTTCTCCATTGGAGTGGATCTCCAGAACAGCACGAAACGTATTATGGACGTAAGTGTCGACAGCAATCAACGTTTTACAACTGATAATAATCTCTGTTCTTTATAGCTGGATCAGTCAGCGCTAGCTCTGAGTCGCGAATACCTGGTTAAAGGCATGAATGAGACACTGGTTCAAGCCTACTATGACTACATGGTGGATATTGCGGTGCTCTTTGGTGCGGATAAGGATCAGGCTAAGGAACAGCTTCTGCAGTCTCTCGAATTCGAAATGGCATTAGCTAACGTATGCACAAAAAGATTTAATTCCATGTTTATTTAATTTAAGTTTAATTAAATGCCACTGTTTCTCTAGATTTCCCTGCCCAATGAGAAGCGCCGCAACTCCTCGGAGTTGTTTAATCCTCGCACCACACAACAACTGCAGGCAGCTTATCCATACGTTCAGTGGGTAGATTATATGAACGCGTTGTTGCCCGATGGGCTGTCCGTGCAGGATGATGAGATTATCAATTTGACCGTGCCATCATTCTTCGAAGAGCTGGGAAAACTACTGGCCAAAACACCAAATCGTGTAATTGCCAACTACATGATGTGGCGCATACACGGCTTTTCAATTGGCTTTCTGAGCGAGGAATTCAGAAAACGCCAGCTGCAATATATAACCGCTCTATCCGGTCGCCAGGAGCAGGAGGCACGCTGGAAGGAATGTGTTGATATTGCCTCCGGCAGGTTAGTATCCGATTTTCAGAATACTGCGTATTACATTTTGGAAGAGGTGGTGGGGCCTCGTTTAGGTACCTAAACAATTTTCGCAACGATTTTTCTATGCTCATTTTCGTTATTGTACCCTGAACCCGTTTTCAATGGGAAATCAGGGTATAATGGGTTTGTTAAAAGTGTGTAACAGGCAGAAGGAGACGTGGCAGACCCCACAAAGTATATATGTATGTACGTACATATGTACATATATTCTTGATCAAGGCGACGAGCTGAGTCGATTTAGCCCTGTCCGTCTG